GTGTGTGTGTGTGTGTGTGTGTGTGTGTGTGTGTGTGTGTGTGTGTGTGTGTGATCTCCCTTTGTTCATGTGCTTCTCTTGAGCTATTTTTAGCTCCAGTTTCCCATTCTGCTTTCTGGTAGAATGGTGCAGAGTCCACATCTGCAAGTAACGGATATCGGGGTATAGTTAAAATACATATTAGCAAAGCAGTTAAACCCCTTTAAGAAGCACAAGCCAATAAAGAGAAAATACTGCTTAAAATGGAATATTTACACAGAGTTTTGAAATATAACTTAATACATTTCTAAATAAATTCTAAAAAACTAACTGAACTTCTAGTGTTTCTGAAAGCCATTACTTGGTTAAACTTTAAATATGGTTTATAAGTCTATATAGGACTTCGTTTATCAGAAAAAATTTATATTGAAAATAAGATTCTCTGAGAACATTGTAAAGCATCTGGACAATAAAATTACTGGGTAAAATCTAATAATATATCCTCTTACCCTATTTTTCTGTTAATAAGACCCTAATACCATCATTTCCCAAATTGTTGAAATCTATGCCATCATTATCAATTTAATATTCCTTATACAACCTCAATATGCTTATCCAGAGACACAGACTCAAGTTAATTATTAAAAAATTCAATGTGAAAAGGATGGTCATAAATCTACTTAGAAAAAAGAAACAAACTAAAATGTTATACAAATAGTTCTGTCTCTTATTATTCAAAAGTATGTGAACTTGCTATCAAGTTTTCTAACTTTAATTGGTAGCAAGTAGTAAAACATCTTTTTAAAACTATGATTACCGGAAAAAAATTTCCCCTTATGCACTATAATGTAGGCTTTTCCCATAGTAATCTGTTTATGTAATCACCAGATTAGACTGTAAAATTACTGCTTTTTACTGAAGGGTATTTATAAATTCAGCTCTGAAATATCATTGTAGAGAATATCTCCTCTCTTGAATGTCTAACAGTTTTAAAAAGTTATTTTCCCTTCAGAGGATGGATGTGTTTACATTCATGATCTTATTTTTTTTTTTACATTCATGATCTTATATGAAGTTCTTGATTTTGAAATGGACTTGCAACTCAATATTCCTGGTGAAGAAAAAAATAATGTTGGCAAGTTAGCAGAATTGAAGAAACATGAAATATTAGAAACAGCAGAGGAAAATGATTCAGAAATTTCTAAATAATTTGTTTCTAAGTGTTAGTGTTTTTAAAGAAAATTTTATCAAACTTTCAAAAAGTGTTCTGAATAAAACCAGAAGTAAAACTCCACTCTCCCCAAAACCCAGAAAATACCAAAAATATTAAGGCATAATTATGAAGTAATGAGTCAGCCTTTTCAACAAATAAACCAAAATTTACTATCTCATGAACTTGGATAGCAAGATTTCAGTTGTGCTCATGATTCCCAAATCTATTAACTGCACTTCAACTTTCTCTCCAAACTTAAAAATCAAGAGCCTATGAATATTTCAATTGTGTGTTCCAAAGACATGTCAATAATCGTCCTAAGCCTGTTTTATTTGTTTCCTAGTTCATGCATAGGAACTATTCATGTAGTTCCTAAGTCAGAAAGCATATCTTGTCAATCTTCCTTGAAAGATCTATTTCTCTTACAGATACTGCCACTATCCTAATAAAATTCTTATCATTTTACTTGTAGCTGGTATCCTTGTCACTATTCTCATTTCCCTATAGTCCATCCTTAACACAGACTAACAAGTGCCAGAATATTTGTTTCAACATAAAGATCTAATTGTGACACATCATTTACATTATTTCAATGATCCTCTATATCCATGATGATAGAGTCTAAATATTACGTGTATTTCTATGATTTGTTGCTTAACCATCCCATCTCATCTTTTGCCCCCAGCCCTGCTCCCATACTGACCTCTCTTCAAATTCTCTTATAAAAGCCACTGGGCTTTCATAGAAGCTGCTTTACCTGTCTGGATCACCCTTTCTCTGACTGTCCCCTTTGTCCTAATCTTGTCCTCGCTATACCTAGTCATCACAGGGCAGTACAGGCACCATCACTTCCTGGAAGGCTCTTTAGATCTTTTTCCTCCCCTAATCCAACCCCAGGGCTGAATTAGGTATGTTTCTGCCTAACTCCATTTGCACATTGTGTACATATTGCTATGGCATTTAGCACATTGCATCATGATCGCATCTTAATTTATCTTTCTCCCAATTATACTGTAGCCTTATGGAAGGCATACCCACTCATCCTCAGTTTCTAACATTATACGTGGTACATGTCAATAAATGTTTGTTGAATGCATGGATGGATGGATGGATAAATGAATTAATTAGATCCCTTAGAGAGGGAAAAGACCTTATTCCAATGATGCTGCCTTTGCTTAAATCATTTGTGGAAAACAGTTTAGGAATTGTCTTCAGAATTGGTTTATGAAATAGAAAAGGGTATCAATATTTCCCGGCCTTTTTGGCAACACCTGTGTTAGCATTGTTTGAACAACAAAAAATGTGGGATGGAGATTATCATCCGTATTTATTCACCAGCTACATATGATCTATTCTCAAAGGCTGCGGATGATGCAAAAATATGCTCCTAGTTTTGAGCACAATTACAAAAGGCAGTGTTAATGTACATATTGCTTCCTAGGGTGGCTGCCTGAAAATATAAGCTCTCGTGTTCTTTTAAAAAGAAATCAGTCTCACTGCTTTATTACCATGCTTCATATTTGGATATCTGAATTAGTTATTGTCGTGAATGTTAATCACAAATTTATGAGAGAAAATCAATTTAAAAATATTAGCTGGTAGACTTGAACACATAGCTCCCAAGACTATCTTGAAATATTTCCAAATCAGATTCTATAGTTTTAACTCTCTAGAAAAAACTTTTTGAGAAAATCCTATTATTTTATTCAGATTCAAGTTCAAACATTTCTTTTAAACCACAGTTCTAAGAACATACTTTCATTGCCAAACTCTCTCCAAGGGATGCAATATTCTCAGATTTTTTATCCAAACATGCTTGCAGGCATTCCTTTTCTTTAGCCAGATCGTTGAGGGTTGCACCAAGAATGCTGATTTCTTCTCTCTGGGCAATACTTTGCCTGGTAAAATTATCTAAATATGTAATCATAAAGGCATTGTTTTAATCAAAATATTTTTTCCAATATAAGCAGATTGAAATACTTTTCAAAGTAAATTCTCCTATATTGTGTTCAATGACTAAAAATAAGTACTGTATCCCAAATAAAAAATGGCTTTTGTTGTTAGTGATTAAAAACTGAGATGAATCATGAAATTCTAACTGACTCATAAATGTAAAAGCACAATTAACACATTTAAATTAGAACAGCAAAGGAAAGCTCTATATCACAAGTTCTCAAAGTAGATTTACATGTGTGGTGGGGGAGGAGAAGGTGAGTGGTCAAAATAAGTGGAATATTAAAACAAACTGTGACCTCTCTCCCTCTAATTTCCCCACCCTCTAGCCTAGAATCACCATTGCATGTAAGTTGGTAACTAAAAGATCTTAATATAATATTTAATTAGGTCATCTTCAGAGCCAAATGTCTCCTGATATTCTGATTTTTCTAAAGTAGGGTTATAAAAATTCCTAGTGGAAAGAAAATCCCATGAAGTCTGATTTGATTTGTGATAACACTGGCAAGCCAATGTCAGTGTTGAAGGCCTGACTGACTGGTATAGAACAGTGGTTTTCAAATTCTGGTTTTTCATCCAGCACCATCAGCATCACCTGGGAACTTGTCAGAAATATAAAATCTGAGGTCCCACACCAGAAATTCTGAATCAGAAATTCTGAGTGGGCAGAGCAATTTATGTTTTCACAAGCACCCCACTCATGTGATTCTAATGCATGACAAAGTTTGAGAACCACTTGAGGAATTAGTAAAGATACGAAAAGCCTTGGCCATATCTTACTTCAAGGAGCCTAGCTCCAGTGATGTTTAGTAGCTCTCCAAGTGATTCTGACACACACCAAAGTTTGAGAAACCCTGGTCTAGAGCTCTACGAGGGAAGCTCTATTACACCAGACCTCTAGGTAAATCCTTGCCAACAGTAATCCAGAGCAGTGTTAAGAGAGGTAAAACCGTATGCCAAGAGGATGATCTATACAGTACTTAAAAATACATCAAGTCCCTTTTCCAGAGAGTACTGTCTTTAAGGCAAACCACGTTTTGGTATTCTGATATATGAGTTCATTCCCATTGGCCAAAATAAATACATTTTAAAACTCTAAAACACCTCTAGGGTCTCCTAGTTTTAAAAAAAAAAACAACCTCAACCTTACATCCCACTCAAGCTACCATACCATTTTTCTGCTTCTGTTAATTGCTAAGCTTAAGAGACTTCTATTCTCTCCTGTCCCTACCTCCTCACTTCCTAATCATTTCCCACCTACAACCCATCTTCCACATCCAACACTCCATTCACTGTCAATTTTACCAAAACCTCCAATGTGCCAAATCCAATCAATATTTTTCATCCTCATCTTATTTTGCTTCTCAAAGATATCTGACAATTGATCATACCCTCCTTTTTAAAGTATTTTGCTCTCTTGCCTCCCAAAATAACACTCACTTCTGGGTTTTCTTCCTACTTCTTTGGCTTCTTCTTACTGAGTCCTGGGATCCTCTTCTCATTCTCTATATTTTCCCTAGGCAATTTCATGGTTTTAAAATATCATTTATATGCTGATGTGTCCCAGATGTTTATCTTTAGCTTAGATTTCTCTTCTGAGATAAAAACTTATCTATTTAACTGCTTACCTTAGATTTTTATTTAGACTTAAAATATCCAAAAATGAGTTCTTTAATATTCCCCTTCTATAATTCTCTTGTAATATTTCCTATCTTAATAAAAAGCACTTCTACTCACCTAATTGTTTATGCCAGACATTTTTTAACTACAAAACAGAAAATGTTAAAAAATATTCCCCATTTTAAAATGGGCTTTTTAATAGTCCTGACCAAAATTTTACTTTACAGTTATAAGAAGATTAAGTTATGACCACATTTTCATAGAGATCACTGGTAAGAAACATAAATATGACACTTTATAAAAACAATTTTCTCTATGAACCCAAGTGATAGCATACAGTCAAATATATGTACACTTTCCATCAAAATAATATACAGATATGTACACATTTCATCACAACACTATTGACAAGCCACAATGTAGTACGAACAGTTGTAAATTTACAAGGGATCATGACAAATTTACAAAGTGTCATTGCTTTGTTTAGCTATTTCTTCATTGAAAAATATGAAGCCATATCTAAGTATTTACGGTCCTAAATATAAGTAAAAAATTTTACTATCAAAGAAAAAACACATTTTTCCATGATTCTTGATTGATAAACTTTTAACTTTTATGGGCCTATTTCCAAGTTTATCTATGTTATAACTGAAGAGAAGAAAACATGTTTTTCTACCAGACTTTAAAATATATATATTTATTTATCAGGGGAAAAAAACTCACCAATTTTTTCATCCAAGCACATAATTTTCTCCTGAGTAAGCTGTAGCTCATATTTTTTCTTAGCAAGATGTCGCTGAGTATCAGAAAGATCTTTTTCTGTATTTTCATATAAAAGTCTGTAAACATTTTAATAATAAAACTAATTCTGAAATTTTTATGCTTTATCAACTTTTTAGTGTATTTAAATCTAAAAACTGGTAAGGACTGTAATATACATTTTTTCTTTTTAATATTTTCTTTATGAAAGTACATTAAAGGAAGTTTGGAGAATAAAGGGTAAAAAGTTCTTGATAAAAAGCTACTATTAGCATTTTGGTGTTCACATTCAGTATTTTTTCACAATATATATTTTAAAGTTACCATACTATAAATTCAAAATTGAATTGATTTTTTTTTCACTTACACTTAATCTTTACTATTTTTCAGTCCTATAAAACAGCCCTCCAAATCACCATTTTCTGGCTGAAAAGTATTATATGAGCAATAGCCATTTACTTTTTTTTTTTTTTAAGATTTTATTTATTTGTCAGAGAAAGAGTACACAAGCAGGGGGAGCAGCAGGCTCCCTGCCGAGCAAGGAGCTGGATGTGGGACTCGATCCCAGGACCCAGAGATCATGACCCGAGCTGAAGGCAGATGCTTAACTGACTGAGCCACCCAGGCATCCCAAATATAAAGTACTCTTGACACAACACCCACAGAAAGCTCCTAAACCAGGTTATCAAAAATACCCCACCACAACCTAAATAATAAAAACAAAACCCCCTCCAGTATATACACACCAAGAGAATCTACTGTGAAAAAAAAATAGAAAATGCATAAATATCTGAAATCTTCAACAAAGAAAAACCAGGGGAAAGCACGAACACAGTGTCGCCCACTACCACAAATTATGCAGTCGAGTTTCCCACATCTAGAGTGCAATGGATAAGCCTTGTCCTGGGAAAACCACATTTGTGAGTATAATAAGAAAATTTTTTGAAAGTATAGTGAAATTCCACTGTAGTCTAAATGAAGAATCTTTTCATATGCATTGACAAATTATTTTTTTAGCTTTTTTTCTTGTAAAGCAGCATTTAAAAATGCATGCTAAGGGGTGCCTGACTGGCTCGGTCAGTGGAGCATGCAACTCTTGATCTCATCAAGGTTGTAGGTTCAAGCCCCACATTGGGTGCAGTAATCTCTGCATTTAAAGATTTTAAAAAATCTTTAAAAAATGCATGCTAAAATCAGAAGCATAAATATAGCAAGCCTATCAATTCACATGATAATGATGAGTCCTGAAAGACACAGGATTGTGCAAAACCTTCCAGTGCACACTGTGGCTATTCTTAGGCTGTTAAATTGCATTGCAGCCATATACTTTCCAAAATAGCCATATCCCCCTGCACAACACAGGGATCTATCTATTAAGAAAAACAAAATAGAAAACTACACACATAATCATAAGTTCTCAAATCAGACCTTTAAATCACTGACTGATAAACCACACCTAAAACAGACATTTAAGCAATAGAAACTTTAGAAATAAAGCTGGTAGCTTCTTTTGCAGATTCTTTTAACACTGATGTCAAAAAAGACTCTTACAACTCCTCTAAGATATATTTAGAACTTTAAACAACCTACTTTTTTTTTTCTTTCAAATGCCCAGAGTCCTAGAAGAGATTTTTGGTTGCTTCCAAGCTTGGGCAATTATGACTAAAGCTACTATAAATATCGTGTGCAGGTTTTTCTGTGCACCTTAGATTTCAACTACTTTTGAGTAAATACAACAGAGCACTATATGGTAAGAGTGTATTTGGCTTTGTAGAAACTGCCAAACTGTCTAATAAAAGTGGCTGTACCGTTTTGAATTCCCACCAGCAATGAATAAGAGTTCCTGTTGACCCACATCCTCACCAGCATTTGTCAGTGATTCAGATTTTGTCCATTCCAATAGGTATGTAATGGTATCTCACTGTTGTTTTACTTTGCATTTCCCTGATGACCTATGATGTAGAGCATCTTTTCATATGCTTACTTGCCATCTGTATATCTTTGTGGAGGTCCGCTAAGGTCTTTGGCCCATTCTTTAATTGGGTTGTTTGTTTTCTTACTGAGTTTTTAAAGAGTTCTTTGTATGTTTTAGATAACAGTTCTTTATCAGCTGTGCCTTTTGCAAATATTTTCTCCCAGTCTGTGGCTTGGCTTCTCATATTCTTGACATTGTCTTTTGCAGAGCAGAAGTCTTTAGTTTTAATGAAGTACAGTTAATCAATTATTTCTTGTGTGGATTGTGCCTTTGCTGTTATACCTAAAAAGTCATCAACATACTGAAGGTCATCTAGGTTTTCTCCTGTTATCTTCTAGAGGTTTTACAGTTTTGTATGTTACATTTAGGAATATGATCCATTTTGAGTTGACTTGAAGGTGTGATATCTGTGTTGCAATTTTTTTTTTTTGGCATGTGGATATCTAGTTGTTTCAGCACCATTTGTGAAAAAGACTATCTCTGCTCTATTATATTGCCTTTGCTTCTTTGTCAAAGATCAGTTGACTGTATTTATGTGGGTCTATTTCTGGGCTCTCTATTCTGTACCATTGCTATTTGTCTATTCTTTTACCAATACCACACTGTCTTGATTACTGTAGCTTTAGAGTGAGTCTTGCAGTCAAGTACTGTCAGTGCTCCACCTTAGTTTTTCTTCAATTTTCTGTTGCCTATTCTTTTGCCTCCCCATATACTTAAAATCTGTTCATTGATATCCACAAATAACTTGCTGTGATTTTGACTAGAACTTACTGAATCTATAGATCAAGTTGAGAAGAACGGACATCTGAAAATATTATGTTTTCCTATCCATGAACATAGAATTTTTTTTGTTTTTCTTTTTTACCAAAACAAAACAAAACTTTATTCACAATTGAAAACTTAAACAGAAAATCTTGGGTTCTGAATTTGTGACATTTCCAAGGTCTCTTGATCAAAAAGGGCCGCAGCAGGCAGGGAAGCAAACACAGGGGCCAATCCGGATTATCTTACTCAAGAGTGCCACCCAGAGCAAGGGAAGGCCTACAATGGCAGAGAGGTGGAGGTCTGATCAGTCTTGCTCTGGACTACATCTCCCCACACTGTGAAATCACCACAGGGAGCCTGGGCTTATTGTTGGGGCCTGTGAGAACATTCTCAATCTTTCGCATCGCTATAAGTCCATCAGTGATTTTTCCAAACACTACGTACTTCCCATCCAGCCACTCACATTTAGAGCAGGTGATGAAGAACTGGCAGCCATTTGTACTGGGACCACTGTTTGCCATGGAAAGCAGGCCTGGAGCTGAGTGTCTGTTTAAAATTTTCATCTGCAAATGGCCCCCGGTAAATACTGGCAACTCCAGTACCATCTCCATTAACAAAATCCCCACCCTGAATCATGAAATCCTTTATGACCCTGTGGAAGGTGCTCCCTTTGTATCCTACCAGAACCCCATCTTTTCTGAATTCTCCAGTGCAGAACTGCTTAAAATTCTCGGCAGTCTTAGGCACAACGTCCACAAAGAGCTTGATCTTCATGCGGCCAACTTCCTGGCCGCCAATGCTGACATCAAAGAACACCACGGGATTTGCAGGACATGTCCTCACTCCTGCATGGGGATTGGCTGACAATGTCATCTGTAATCACTGGGTCTTTCTTTTTTAAAAAAGATTTATTTATTTGAGAGAGGGGAGAGGGGCAGAGGGAGAGGGAGAGAGAATCCTCAAGCAGACTCCCTGCTGAGCACAGAGCCCAATTCAGGGCCTGATCTCATGACCCTGAGATCATGACCCATGCCAAAATCAAGAGGAGGATGCTTAACCAACTGAGCTAACCCAGGCACCCCTAGAATATTTTTCAGTTTATTTAGTTCCTCTTTGATTTCTTTCACCAGTTTTGTACTTTTTCTCATACAAATCTTATACATAATTTGTTAGATTTATACTTAAGTATTTCATTTTGGAAAGTACTAATATAAATTGTATTGTGTTTTCAATTTTAAATTCCACTTCTTCATTGCTAATATAAAAAAAAGCAATTGATTTTGTATATTAACCACATATCCTGCAACCTTGTAGTAACTGCTTATTAGTTCTAGATTTTTTGTTGATTCTTTTGGATTTTCAACATAGAATATCATGTCATCTACAATAGATTTTAATACTGAAATCTTTTTAGTCTCAAATACCCAGACTCAAACTGAAACAGTCTTGGAATCACTAGACACAAAGATCCAAACTAACTTTTTATTAACAGATAGCTCTACCAATCATTCAACTATATGGAAAATTCTTCTTGGGCCTAGAGATGTTTGATAAGCAGATAGACACACAGATTTTTTTTTTAAATCTACTTCCAGAAAATGTTCTGAAAATACTCTAGCTCTTTACTATTGTTTTCTGACATAGAAACCCAAACAGAGTAACTTCTGCTACTAAAATATACCTGTTTGAAAGGAAAGTTCATTTAAGCAGTATAGGAACACAGATAATGAGTATTGGTTTTGAAACACTGGGGAATTTCTTCTTCATCAGCAGTGAAACCCAAACAGAAATGGATTAATTTCTTTTTGGCTGATTTGGCTTGGAATACTATGGAACTTCAGTTTAGAGATACAGAAATCCAGATATGTGCTGAACTGTGCTCAGGACTCAATTTCTAGTGAGTGTTCACACATGGGACAAAACTTAAAATTTTCTCATCAACTGACGAAACAGAAAACAGGAACAACAATATTTTAACTATACTGAATGTAGTCGGATTATGTAGCTTCTTATTAGATTCTCCGTAACTCCTTGCCTTTTGTACATGTAACTATGAAACCTATGATATGAATATATTATAAAGTATAAGATATTGATCTATAAAATATAAACTGAAAGCTGACTCCTCAGCATAATGTAAGTCATATGACAGTGGAAAGATATTATCAAAGTGTTAAAAATAATCCCCAACCTTTAGAATTCTCTACCTAGCAAAAATATCCTTCAATACCAGCAAGGTTACAACAGAGGTGGTGAGAAATGCTCTGCTTTTGAGTACATTTTGAAGACAATACAAACTGCATTGGATATGGATATATGAAATCACGATTACTCAAGGTT